CCTGCAGAGGCCGTATTACTACTGCGCTCGACGATACCGATGTGCATGTAGTCAATGTTCACAACCATCAACCCAATGCAGAAATTGTCCCGGTTAGTTATTATTTATGTGAGTACTGATTTATAGCAAATATTTTCGTAAGTGATGGCTTGTTATTTGTTACTGTACTCTATATCTCGTATGCTAAATGTGGTTGAATTTCGAATTTAAAATGAATTTTAGAAACGACGAGTGCGTACAATGCTGCGAAAATTGGCTGAAAGAGGAGAAATGCCTCAAAGTGAGATATTAAAGAAAATTCAAGATATGGAAGTTGCCTTTGGTCGTAGCCGAGAACAAGAAAATGCAAAAGGTTATGCTGCAGAACGACGGTAAGCTTTTGTTTTTTGTATGCCAATGATTGCATGGAATTCTGACTTTTGTAATCTAATTGTAGGAACGTTATTAAGGATTGGAGATATTTGAGATAATTCTTAGGTTTAGTAATGTCAATAGTCTTTTAATAAACTGTAAACTGTTTTACATTGTGAGATTAGTAAAATCAGTCTATTCAATTCAGATATATAAGTCGCCACATGAAACTAAAGAGCCAATCGACTGGCAGCGAATCTTCATCTCCCAAAGTTTGTTGACACTCTTGTATATTTATGGATTTCACATATTTCTAGTTAAGAAATTCAAGTGACATTATTATTAGCTATCTTTCGTTATTTCTGATTTAATCTTTGTTAGTAATGGCAGTAATGGTTTCAACACTTTTTGTGCTGTGATTCCTTTTTCAAATCTTTTCAGATGCCTAAATATTCTAATTACGCAATAAGGAGCATGGGAAATAAGGAAGCTAATGTCAATGAAAATGAATTGAATAACAAAGTTAGTAAAGATTCAGACTCTAAATTAGAGCAGGGGGCAACAAAGAGTGATGTGAATGTGCCGTCGAAATCAGGGGGGGAAATTCCAGATAAAATGAACGTTTTTGCTCAAATAGATTCAAATGCAAATAATCACGAGGTGTCATTAGAGGACAAGAAAGCCTTGCAAGAGGAGTCCGAAAAAAAACTAATGAAGATTCTTCTGCGCATAGAATGCTCAGATGACGAAGTCGATTCGCTGATGACTGAAAATAACGGAAATACCGCAGATTCGCGTCAAATTTCTTCCTCTGCTTCGAAAAAGCATGAACACTCAGCATCAAACTCGAAACAGTTTGGAACTGGTTGTACTAAAAATGAATCTCCTATGTCTCACGTTGATAAGTGTGCTTTACGTGGTTTGATAACGGATGAAATAGCAGATATCATGTACAAGCGCTTGTGGCCTGATGGTTTCACGCATATTACCAAATTAGAGTTCATGCGTGATGTCATAGACAAGATTCTGGATTCTTGAAAGCTGTTCTTCAGGAATTATGAGATCTCGCAAATATTGTAACTTTTATCTCAAATATAACGATCACTGTTCATTAGCAGTTATACTTAATTATATTTATAAAAAATTGGTGTGAGACTGTTTCATGCTATTGCTTCTTTTTTTTGCGACCCTTGATTTTTAGTTTTCCAACGGTAGTTCTAAAGGTTATTAAATATTAATTTAAAATGTTGTTTCTTATTATTGGTTTATATGACAATAAATTTAAGTGCTTTATCTGTTTGCAGAAATTTTATGCCTTAATATATCGTAACAAATATTCTTGTAGTATTGTTGTATTTGCGCATTCAAAGTAAGTTGTCGCTACCAGCATTACTGTTATTTTCTAAAACAGCACCCAAGACTTGTGCATATGGTTTGGTTTACAGATGACTAACTAACTCATCGCTGTTAATAACTCTCAGGAGTTTACGTGGCTGAATAAAAGCTAAAAGTGGATTAACACAGGAAGAGTAAGTGAAAGGATATAGTTTTGTTAGCAAAATTCAGAAAAGGGACTTTGGTGAGCATTTTTCGCCCAGTTATTTGTAGTTAATTGCTATGATATGAAGCTGGGTGCTTAAACGATTGTAGAAGTGGTCTGATGAAAATTTCACTAAAATTAGTTGAAACTATGGTCAAGTCTATACAATATTTTAGCACTAATTGTCAGTACTGAAGTTTTTTGCGCATAAATATTGTCTAATTTAGATTTGATTTTTTTGAATCACAATTCATACTGAAAATTGATGGGATAGACTTTCGAAAACTGGTTCTCCAGAATTATAAAGCATTACTTAATATTATTTTCATCGCATAAGCTGTTATTTTTTCTTAGATATGCTCGTAATTAAAATTCATTGAATTTTGGCTACGAAATATTGCAACATTTAATTTTTGTTACGGAAGTAATTATATTTACTTACGCTTAAGTCTAAGTCAGGTCATTGAGATAAAGGTTTGGAACGTTTTGCAGTGAAAAAATTTTGTTGACTTGTCAAATTACTTAGTATATTTGTGGTCCATACTTTTATTAGGTAGTGTATTGAGAATATATATACTCTTGCAAGCATCGATTATTTGGTTTATACTTAAAGTCATGGAAACATAAGAGTCTATCTGCTTGCTTGTTTGCAATTGGCATGGAATGTTTTCTTTAGCTTAGGTTAATCTAATCTTTGCTTTAAGTATGAACTATATTCATTAATGCTGGGCATTTGGATCTGATTGTGAACTAAGACTGAACTGAGTAAGTTAGCTAAAACTAGAAAATATTGGATATATTAGTGGTTAGAAGTAGTAATGAATTGAGAATATACGAAACTGAAGTAATAACTAGTGATGATTATTTGGAACATATTTTTTTGTTTAGTAAGTCTCAAAGTTACTGCTATTTACATGCTTGATTTTTTTTTTGACTGAGAGATTGAAAAAAATTTAAAATGCTTAGTTAATTATTATAAGCAGAAGAAAGGTAGCATAATGGTAGTACTGTCACCAAAAATATTATAATAAAAACCTGCTGAAATGTTCAGCATTATCAATTATTCATATTTTTATTTGCAATCGAAAGTTTTCCATATTTTTAAGTAATATTTATCACTTATTTATTGATAATAATTGGCTAATTTTTTGTCTAATATTTATTAATTGTAATAAGCTGTATTAATTTTGATATATTGTAGAGTTTTATTTTTTACATATTCTGTGTCATCTGAATTGTGTAATTTATGATGTTATTATATCAGAAAAAGATATCTAAAATGGAAGAAGATCGACTGGGAATGCAAATAAGCGGTGATGTAGCAGAAATTGAAAAAGATTCAAATGGTGTCATTGGTGTTTCTATTGGTGGTGGAGCACCATATTGTCCTTGTATTTATGTAGTACAAGTATTTGAAAACTCTTCGACAGATTTAGATGGGCGGATTCAAGCAGGTGATGAGATTATCAGGTAAATTTAGGTAATAAATTCAGATCTTAATCATTTTACTATGGTTTTTATCTTTATATCAAGATACGTGAAATAAAAAACCATAAGAATTGAAAAAAAAAAACGAGAGAAAGTGTGAAAAAAAAAATAGAAAACCAAAAAAATAAAGATTACATTCCATGACTTATTCGTTTTATGATCAGAATCTGATGCACATATATCACACATTAATCAAGTTGGATTTTTCATCACATATATCAAGTTGGATTTTTCATCTCACTGAGTTCTACTTGTTATTATTAAATTAAGTTATTTTGCTTAGGTTATTATTAAATTATTTTGATTTTATTTTTGCATTAATTTCAGTATCAATGGTTTATTAGTGAAGGGTGAGAAGAAGACAACGGTTGCACGAATGATTCAGAAAAGTGAAGGTAGTGTGAAGATTGGATTCAACATTCTTCATCCTGAACCTTTCCAAGTATTGTTGTAGTTATTTTGATTATTTCGATCAAAAGTGTATTTTGATTATTTTGATTTAAAATATCGTTAACCGATGAAAAATTAAAAATTAAAGTATTTTGGTAGAAAAATTCTACTATAAGAAATGACAAAATAAAAGTTGTCTATTAAAAATCTAAAAATTGAAAAATTTGTAAAGATTTTTGATAAATTTAGTCATTATTTTTCAATGATTGAGTAATTATTAAGAATAATTTCCAGTTTCAAAAAAATTAATAATATTAGCATAATATTCCAGTTATTAATTTTTTTATGCAGTATTCGAGCACTTTACTATCTTAAGCAAAATAATTATAATGCAGATTCGATTATATTAATTGAAATACATAAAATCAGCTACAGAATATCCGAAAATTAATTAAGCTTTTTTTTTCAAGCATTATGTACCAAAAAAGCATTCTTCATAAAACACTTCGAATTTGAATTGGTTGTAAATCATTTTCAGGGGCATACATTAGATATAGCACTGAAAAAAATGAAGCATCGAGTAATAGAATCAATGGCTTCCGAAACTGCGGATGCTTTGGGTTTATCTCGTGCTATGCTATGTAATGATTTGATGCTTCAGAAGCTAAATCGTCTGGAGCATACCTCTCAGATGTACAAGAATCTAATCAAGCATCTTGGATCAATACTGAATTCTCATTATCATATTGCCAATACTCAGAAAGGTTTTTTATTCACTGCCATTAATGTTCCATCGTCATTGTAGATATCAGCGCCTACTGATGACTCTACATATTTCTTCAAATTCTCAAAAAAATTCAGAAGTTTTTGATAATGATTCGAACTCTGCTATTCTAACTCATAGTTTCGTATCTGAATACAATAATAATAATGATAATACAATAAGTCCAAACCTATTTTAATCTTCAAATCAATTCAAATTTACGTCTTGTGTGTATTTCTTTGAAAAGTTTTTACAAATATTATTTCTTCGAATTAAAGACATAATTTTGATGATGAAGAAAGTGAAGAACTATTTGTTATACAAAATTGTAAATTTACACTTTTCGAAAAATACCAATCACAGTACTTTTTTTTAACTTTGTATTTTATATAATAGTCTTATTGTTTTGTTGGATTTGCAAAAATTTTCAAAATACTATTTTCATTATAACAACTTGCAAATACAAAGATGGTAAAAGAAGTACGTATTTCTTGTACTGAAAAGTTGCTTGACAAGGTAAATCTATGATAGAGATAAGTTTTTTTTAAATGAACAAGTAACTTTATTTAAATTTGTTATCTCATCCTTGTGTTATCTATGATTCAGTAGGATTAAATTATGACTTAAGACATAACTATTTTTGTCAAGAAATGCATATACTTGTTTTTTGAATAATATCATTGTAGAATTTGGTGATTTACTGTGTGAAATAGCCGCGCGAGAAAGTTCAACTGCCGTCAATTTAGCCTTATCAACATTTGGTAATGCTCATCGAATCCTTCACAAAAATGCCTTAAAGTACGTCAAATGTAAAATAAGTTGATAATGCCTTTATTATTGTTCGCTTCACTAAATTTGGTTGGAATTTGCTCACTGGTAGAAAAATGAGCGGCAAAGCATTTTATTATAATAAATTATAATATTTTTTAAAAATTATGATCATTATATACTTGGGCTCATCTAAAAATATTTGTATTCACGAAAATGCAAAAAAAAAATATTCTTGGGAAAAGATGAAATTGAATGTTATTTGGGATCTTTGATTCATTAATAGAAAAATGAACGGTTATTGAAATTACTACAAAATAGAATGAATATACGGTTTGATATAAATTACTGATCAGTGAAATCCAAGAAATAATATAAAAACAAATAATGCATGACAACAGTTCAATAAATAATGGAATGTGAAATTTGGAGATGTTAAATTAGGCGTGAAAGTTAGCCTTCTTTTCTGTTTGAAATCTTGAAATTGCGTTGAAATTCTGCGTTGTTCTTCAAAGCATACCTGATTTTTGCTCGAATAATTTGTTTTTATTTATTTATTTATTTCTTTTTAAATTTAAAAGTTGAAAATTTTGATTCTCATGTTATCAAATTTTTTACAAATTGTGACAAAAAGTAAATTTAAGGTTGCTAAAAAGTTTGCACTCAATAGTTCGTGACTTGAATACATTTGTTGATAAAGCTATTCCGGACACAAAATTGACTGCAAAGAAATATTTGGATGCTAAATTTGAATACTTATCATTCTGTTTAAAACTGAAAGAAATGGATGACGAAGAAATGCAAGCAGTAAAATTTGCTGAACCTTTGTATCGTATAGAAACTGGAAATTATGAATACAGGTATGCAAATATTTCGTGGTTGTATAGAGTAATCAAGATATTTCTTCTTCATTATTTAATTATACTTGTTAAATGTATTATTTTTCTGTCAATATATTCGAAATAAAATAAGGAAAGTTATCAAAGCGCAAAAAATTAAGGTTTAAAACTAAAGCCAACATAGGTTAATCAAAGTTTATTCGTATGTCAGGTTGATGTTGCGATGTCGACAAAACAGTCGAGAAAAGTTCATACAATTACGAAAAGATGTTTTAGAGAAATTGGAGTTACTTGACCAGAAACATGGTTCTTATAATTCCTTTATTTATTTTACAAAGTCCTTCTAATTACGCAGAAAGTATGGATTAGAATGCTTTATCTTTTGTAGATTCTTAATATAGAAGTAACTCAATGGTGATGGTAATTCTTATGTACAGAAATTAATATTACTGCAATGCTCAGTTCAATGCAGTCAATTCGAGAGAACTGAAATTTGCAATTACTGTTTAGGAATGAAACAATGCTTACTAGCTGATCATTTAATATAATTTCAGCTGAAGGCATTAAAGTTCAGATGTCAAATTTAATCAGAGCTATGATGGAAACACATGAGGAATGTAAAGAAGTAATGGCAAAAACAAATGGATTATTCCCATTTGATATAGATCTTGGATTAGTATGCCATTATTTTTGTTGATTTGCATTAAATATAAATTGTTTTTGAATTACTAAAACAGTCATGAAGATAGCATGTGTATATTCATGCGACTGCTCATTTTAATCACGATCAGTTATTAATTTCAGTTTATTTGAAATAACACTATTATAGGTAGCTCCAGAGAAAAAAACAAATGGTCAATTAAATGATACAGTAGGTGAACCCAACGTGATCAGACATGAAACCGAACATCTACTGGATTTGTCCTGAAAATCACAAGCTTCGAAACAGTAGAACAAGTTGACTAAAGATAACAGTTGTTGCTTTGGTGCGCTGTGAATATTCTTATGAATATACATACATTTTTGTCACTTACATTATTACCACATCCATCCATTATTTAGCTACATCACATGTTTACGATACTAAAACGATTAAAGTTCTCCCAGTAATAATTGCATCGCATAACATACATTCAATTGTGCAGATATTTGTGTGATGTAGCCTGCTTATTAAATCTGTGTAACATATCAAGTTACGCTGGTCTGAGCTGAAAATGAAACGACATTCTTAACTCGAGACGACCGAAGATAATACGATATTAGTTTGACTTGAAGAAAATAAGGGCTAAGCGGTCATGACAGAAGAACGCACGTGTTCAGCACAGCAGTTACGCGAGAAGCAATGCCAGAGAATATTTGAAAGCTCACAAATATACCAACCATCATACCATCACAAGAGCTAAAGTGATGGCCGAGAAGTCAAGAGATAGACTGAAGCGGAGGGACGTGAAGGATAGGATTTGGCGGTAAGTTGCCAAGAGAAAACGACCGAACTTCTTTATGAGGTGTGACAACACTGCTCTGGGAGAGATGTCAAATTTAGAGAGTGAAGGAAAAGAGAGGAAAAGGATGCAAGACGAAGAACGGTTTGTGAAAGAAAGAAGAATAGACGGAAGGGGCGGAGTAGCGAAGGAAGGGATCGATCAGCGCAAAAGAGTAGTGTATGAGGAGGAGAGGCGAGGCAGGATGCAGATGCGCCTCTCGAAGGTGAATTCGCTTTCCGCTGCTTCACATTGCGCTCGGCTGTTTCTCTCACTGCAAGCGCAAATGTCTCTGTTTCTCTGGTTCTCCACGACATATAGCACACGCTTGCATCTTTTGCAGTCTGGCGACCACTCCTTCTCATTCACTCGTCATACGCCCTCACACTTCAACTTATACTTTCTGCTGTACTTTTCTTTTATTGTTAGTCGCACTTCTTGCGCACGTCATTGCTTTGTAGAGGTTGTCACGTTACTTCACAGTTATTTCAGTCTCATTTTTACTTCTCCGACTTTTCGTTTCATGCATTTCTTTCTTCACGCTTGTACGTGTGTGAAGTTGGCTGTTCGCACGCAGTAGCATACAGTTACGATCTTGAGCATGTTGTATGTAATACCGTTATGATTCAAAAGAGAGTTCCATTCTGACACTTGAGTCGATTGACTGACAGAGCTAGTGGTTTTTGTGCTTAAATGACATTAATGCACAGAGGTCTCAATGTACCCTTTCTATTTTGTGCATTTCTTTTTTCACGTTTTCTATCTAATTATTTGACGTGATTATTTCGTTAAACAAAAATATTGCGTGGACTTTAACGAATCGTGAAGGCACCTAGTAATGCAAAAGTTTGCAGGAAATATTGAGGTCAGAGTTGAGATTTGATTCTGAAGCAAAAATTGAAGGTATAAAGGAGGAAGAAATTAGTGACTAAAAGTGAACATGACTCTCGTCGACGTTAAAAATTTGACCTTAGGGTATTCTTTCCTTCATCTTCTAAAACTTTCTGCAGATTATTTTTTATTCTGAAACTATCCGGCTCTGTGTCACAGTTCAGTTTCTGATTCTTTTGTATGTGCATAAATACTATGAGAACAAAGTTACTGCAAGTGATAGTGGATTATTAATCGAAAAATGATATTGCAGGCCTGAAGGACCGATCACGGGTAAAATTTTATTCGAGATGGACGAGACATCCAGGAAATGTCCATTGGTGATTTTTGGGAATTACGAGCATCGCCTCGTCTCGTGCAACATTAAACGCGGATGCAAAATCTACCGGTTGAGCATTAATAGATTTATTTATATTTCCTCCATCAACACTTGTTGCGAAGTCTTTGTTTTCGGTTAGAAAAATTTCAGCGAAATATGTAAATAAGTTTATGAGAGTATTATTTTGTAATCTGTTGTGAGCTTGATTTCATTATTGTCCTTCATGAAAATTGAGGACTGTGAAGTAATCAGTCTTCTGAGTGTACTTGAAGTGTTTAATATTTTTAGTTGCCCCAATAAATCCTGCAGAGGCCGTATTACTACTGCGCTCGACGATACCGATGTGCATG